GTTGCTAGGATAGTCTAAGTAAAGGTAATAAAGCCCTATGAAAGTAGGGCACTGCCAGTGAAACTAGAAGGGGAAGTAATGACTATAAAAGACACAGCATATCATTAAAATAACTTACTGACTGTAGAAAGACGGGGCTTACAAAACTAGAGCCAGATTAGGAAAGCAGTAGCACATGAGGCAAACAGCCACCTTATCTTTACTATAAAAAGATGGCTCACATGGCTGTTTACCAGGCATGAAAAATAACCATTCGCTGTATAATTATTTCTTCAATAATTATTTAATGGGTGCTAAGCACTGTGCAAAGGAGCTCTGGTAGCGTAGTGCCTAAGGCAGTTGACTGCTAACCAGAAGTCTGACAGTTCAAACCCACCAGCCACTCTTCGGAAGGAAGGTTGGGCAATCTACATCCGTAGTGCTACTGCCTTGGAAACCCAAGGAGGGGTCGCTGTGAGTCAAGTCCGACTCGACGGCACATAACAACAAACAACACAAGCACTGTGCAAAGTTATACAGTAGTAAACAAGACACTACTCTTTTATTCACGGAATTTACAGATATTGATAAGTACACTATGGCAAATCTGTACGAATATTTCTACATATTATACATTATTCACTAAAATAAATTTTTTTTGGAAGCAGACCTTGGTTATGTGCATCGTTAAAATTCAAAGCATCAATTGGTAAGATTAGTTATCTAAGATCTTGTTATTGTTAGCTGCAGTTAAATTGGCCCCCAACTCTGGCATGCACAATCAGTTTGGAACACCGTGATCTATAGTTTCACTGGCCAATTTTTATAAGTAGATCGCCAGGCTTTTCCTCCTAGTCTGTCTTAGTAACAAGTTCTGCTAAAACCTATTCAGCATGATAGCAACACACAAGCTTCCACCAACAGTCAAGAGGAGGCTGCACACCTGAGATGCTTTGGCCAGAAATCAAACCTGGCTCTACTGCATGCAAGGTGAACATCCTACCACTGAACCACTAAAAGTCAAGTGAAAAATATTTGCTGAGTGCCTATTAATTACCTACATTTAGCTAGGTGTTATGGGAAATATTTAAATGAATGATTTTAAAAAATAACAAGAACTAAATCTAATGAAAAGTATATCCCAGCCTCCATTTTTAAGTATGGAACAAACTAAAAGTCATAGCCACATACCAAGACTTTATTAGGAATGAAACTGACATAAGAATTTCAAAAAATTTTTTATGAATAGGTCCAAATAAATACAGATTTAAATAACCCAAGTATCTACTCTACAAATACACATTACTGGAAACAAAATTTTGAAAATAATTCAAATTGAAATATATAACACTAAAAATAATAAAAGGATGAAAATTAAATCCACTTGGAATGTCCTTTCAAAGAAGTTGTAGTAGTTTACATTACTGAAGCCACTTGAATCAAAATATAAGTATATCAGAATGACATGGTAACAGAATTGAAGATGACTCTGCTTGGAGATCTCTCTCACTACATATCTCAGGGCCCTAAACCAGTGAGTAATTTTCATAATAAGCAAAGATTCATCAGTTAGCATGTTAAAAATGCAGACTATCTTGACCAATTTTCAGAAATTGTGAATGTGTAAGATACCTGAGGCTCAGGAATCTACCTGTGTGACATATATTACCCACCAACATTTTTCAGCCTCTCAGGTTTCCTGGGAAGCTGTGATACCAGTTGCAGTACGTACTGCCACCTGGCAAGGGCCTGTATAATTAAATGCATGAATCTGAAGACATGGTCTCACCTCACCAATTCTACTACCATAGTCCTCTTGGGACATATATCCCCACATAACTGTATAAAAATCCTTCTCACTCAAAACGAAACTCACTGCCATCATGTCAACTCTCTTAGTGACCCCTATTTGGTTTCCAAGACTGTAAATCTTTACAAAAGTAGATTGCCTCCTCTTCCTCCCACAGAGCTGGTGGTGAGTTTGAACTGCCAACCTTCTGGTTAGAAGCCAAATGCCCTACCCACTGCACCACCAGAGCTCCTTACTAAAAAAAATCCCTACTATCCTCAAAAACAATGTTTTCCCTTTGATTTCAGTATGCTCTCCATAACTGAAAATATATTATCAACAAAAAACTCAAAGCAAAAAACAATTTTGTCATGAAAGGGTTAATATGCATTCAAAGCAATCTTGTAAATAGTCAGGGATAACATTTTGCAGAATCCTACAGTGTTTTTAACTTGATTAAGATCTTCAGTTTATAAACAAGATAAGCTAAATAAAGCAAGATTAAATGTCTTACTCAAGTTTAGAGTTCCCCATTTCTGCCAAGCCGACAGTCTTTCTCCCCTCCTACTTAGCTGCCCTCTCCCCATGTCTTCCTCCTACCCACTTTCAAAGCCAACTTCTAGGATAAGGTCTTCTGTTTCTACGTCAGTCCATTGTGGTTGTATCATTATGAGTTAATTTTTTCCACAACTGGAATAAAAAGCTCCCTGGGGAGAAACTGAGCTTTTACTCTTGTATCCCTGTCACAGTGAGACATACAAATATTGAATTTCTTTTTACTGCCTTTGATTTGCAAATAGTATCTTTCTTTTCTCCAAGTAAATACTTAGCACAGTGCAAAGCATATAATGAGAACTAAGTAAATGGCAACTTTTCTTTCTTAGCCTTGTACAGCAGTGTTTTTCTAATTGTTGGTCATTCCTCAATCACAAGTGAAACCATTTTGTGGGTCACAAATATCATTAAAGAAAAATAAGTTTTGTGTGTGGAGGGGCTACTCTAATGCAAAACATATTTTTTACTGTGGTTTGCAATCAAAAAAGTTTGAAAGCTACAATTTGGTAAATGCTGACAGAGCAAAACTCCCATACACCTTCATCATTCAGTTGGCAAAGATATTTTTTCACCCAATTGATGCCCAACCATCTAGTCAGTCTCCCATTCTCCACTCATCAAAGCTAATACTACATTATTTACCTTTCCTCCTTTAACGCAAGGATTTCTGGTAGCTCAAACCTACCAGACACTCCTTGGAAGGAAGGTTGGGCAATCTACTTCTATATTGATACCGCCTTGGAAACCCAAGGAGGGGTTGCTGAGTCAGGTCGACTCTACGGCACATAACAACAACCTTTAATTCAAACACAAAGAGAAGAATGATAGATCCTAAGTCTAAAGAGCACTTTTCCCAGTACCACAGGAGTCTGTGTTCCTTCTTTAGATGAGTCATCTTGAGTGTCGGGATACACTTCAGATGGGCTCTTGGAGCACCTGTCTTCGCAAGTCTATCTGAAATTCTAGATGTCCCAAATAAGGCTTTGAAAATTTTCACAACCTGTTTCATCCACACAGGGTGTAGATGTAACAAATGTGTTGTTGTTTTTTTTCCCCAAGATCACCTTCTTCCCTTACGTTGGAGCTAGGTTCTCGATTTCTACCCTAACATTACCTTCTGGTAATCCTCTTAATTACCAGATTGTCTAAAATTTAAATAATTATATATACTCCTAATAACTTTTCCTAACTCAAAATAGTAGTCACCTTGACAAAACTGTGCTCTTTTCTAGGTTTTATATGTATCTTGTGTCCTTTTAACCAGCAAGCAAAATGTGAATGCTCATCTAGGTTTAATAATGCATTAACTGTGAACTGTCACGACTTTAGTTCAGCCTTATTCTTCACGGTTATCAACAACACTCTCCTTAAATTAGTCTGAACTCAAATTCTACTTCCTCCAATAATGTTCCTAAATCCCTCTAACAGAATTAGTCTCCCACTCTCCAAGCCTCATTAACACTCTGCTCACCCCTCTATAGACTTAATAGTCAGTCTATGGAATATTAGAAATATTTATGACTGTCTCCTATATAAGAGCCTCCACGACTGAATCTGACTTCTTTGTGTATACTCCGCACTGCCCACTAAACACCAGACTGCATGTCACATAGTAGGAAGTTGGTACCGGCTTGTTGAATTGTTTTGAAAGGATGAAGAGCTTAATTCAGTGGATTTCAAAATATGTTAGGAGTTATTTCTAATTCCTCACACCCTCTATACCCTCAGTTTGCTTAATTATAAAGCGAACATATAAACAATAAATAACACTACGAAAAGTATAATGACGGAACTAAAGGAAGATAGCAATAAACAATGTAGAAATACAACATGGAATGCAAGGGTCTCTGCATTTGCACCATGTGGTCCAGAAAATCGGAGCCTGAACCCTCTCTCAGCCTGCACCACTGTGCCCTGTCATACCTTTTTCAAAAGCCTCCCACACTATCGGGTGTATAACAGACCATTTCGTTGAACTTGCCTTAACTCTCGGTCACAGGACTATTACGTACCCCAAAGTCTGTAAAGTAACCAACTGCCGGTGGTTCGGGCTGCCATGGGCACAGTCACCAGAAACAAGAGTGGGCGACCATTTGCCTTTAACAGTCCCCACTAAAATGGAAGCGCGTCTAGACTCGGGCACCTTTAATTCTTCCTAAGCCTCAGAATTTTCAGGTCACCGTATTTCCTCCACTCAATAGCATCTGTCTTCCATGCGCAGTCTCCCCACAACTTCCCACCACCACCTTAAGGTCCCATTACCCTCCAAAGCAGGCTCCCTTGTAGGCCTCAACTAAGGCTGATGTGTTACTCGGGCTGTCAAAACCAAAAAACAAACCCACTGCTATCGAGTAGATTCCGACTCATGGGTCACGGTTCCTAAAAATGTCTTAATCATTGGCCGCTGGTATTAACCATACCCCCCACACCTTGTAACTTCCTTCCTCGAAACTGGTCTTCTCCACTCGCCTTTAATTCCTGAGTTTCCACCATTCCCCAAGTGACATGTCCACCACCTATCACCTCCTCCACCTTGGGAGATCTGCGTCTCAGATCTCGACGAATCTCACTCTTCTTCTCCACTCTCGGCTGGGGCTCGGCCTGCTGGAGGGTCTCCACGCCAACTCATGGCACCGGACACTCGCCCCCACTCTACCGCCGCTCCTCCCCTACTCACTTTGGGCTTTTCGGGCTTCTTCCGATTTTTCTTCTTCTGCTCTTCGCTTCTGAGATTCTTCAGCAGGGCTAGGTCGTCAGGGGCCGGGGCCGGCGTGGCCGCCGCCTCCTCCCGCTTGCGGGGCGGGCTTCTCCGTTTTTTGCGGGCGCCAGCGCAAGCTGCGGCCCAGCCGTAACCGAGCAGAAACAGCAGCAGCAGCCCGAGCGCGCCCGTGCCCACGAGTATCACCCAGCCTGGGTACCGCTTCGGCTCCAGCCCCAGGTCGAGGCCCAGTTCGGTGCGCAAAAAGCTTAGGCCGACCGAAAGCATTTCCCGTAGTCGGGCCGAACCCTCCTCGGCCTTCTGGGCTAGCTCGTCCTGCCAGCCCGGTGCAGCCATCTTCTCTCTCGTGAAAGCGACTCGTAGGAAGACGCTGGAGTGCAGAGACGCTGTGGAATAGTCAAGGGAGGCAAGGAAGGACCGAGCCGGGCAGCCTCAGGCCGAGCGCATCGCGGCTGCCCCTCGCGCCGGAGGCGGGGATCGGCCGCTGCTACCGCGGGGAAGGCAGAAGGGGCTCCCAGGTTCCCCCTAGTCAGCCTCACGACACTGCCGCCTGGAGAAGAGGGAGACCGAAAGGGAGTCTCTCCAGTGACTGCCGCTAAGCGGCGTCTCAGCGCCAGTGCCAGGGCCCCGCTGTCTTCCCTCGGCGAAACAATGGCGGCTCGGGCCGCGAACCACGCCGCGCGCGGGGACGCCGGGGCGGGCCCCGGATCACGTCGACGGTGGTGGGCGGTGCGATTGGTCACGTGGTCCCGGGCGGGGCCGGGCTGGGCGGGATCTGTTGGAGGGGAGGTGTGGCGGTTTCTCAGGCGGTGATCGTTCTGGTCTGGTAGAAGAGCTCACTTCGGGAATCTGGTGGCACTGGATGGACCGAAGCCTGGGAGGGGCTCATTGGCGGCGTTGGTTCTGGGTAGGAGACGTGGCGCTTTGAATGAGTTCAGGGGAGGGGCTGTCGAGGAAGCCTGACGAGAGAGAGGAAGAGGGTGAAGAGCAATGAACTGAGTCACGAGGTCTAGGTCAGAGTGGTCCTTTTGGGTGTAGGGTGTAGGCTTTTTGTTTTTCCTGGGAGTGAGTGGAAGCAGCTTTTCTCCCTAGGATCACCGGTTGACTCAATGCTTCCAGAGTGGGCTTAGCTGAGTCTGAAGTCGGACATTTTTCATCCAGGCCTGGGTTTAATTCACTAATTGGATAGCTCTCTTCGGGGCCAGCTAACACAGATAAGCGTGCCTACCATTTGCCAGCCTGGCTTAGGCGCGTTCGAGTCTTTTCGCTCATTCACTCTCACTGTTGTTACTCCCCAGAATTCAAAAGTTGGTAAGCCCGTGGGCGGAAATGTTCTTTTCCTACTAATTTGTAGCTTTAATAAGAAATAAGCATTGTATTGTGTTTATATATAGGGGTAGCTTCCTCATTTTGCTTTATTTTAACCTTGTAAGCAACACCGCAAAAGAAATTTTAAAAGATCTTATTTTTATGTACTCTGTGGACCGTCTTTGGGAGGCAGCTTTGGAAGGAAATGAATTGCCTTTTTAGGTTTGAGTAACAAGATAGGGTTTGTTTTTTTTTAAACAAGATACATTTTTAAGTTCCATTTTGCTATAAGGAAACGTTTTATCTTTTAAATTAAAATTAGCATGTAAGCAAGTGCCTTAATACGTACAGATATGAATGGGGGAATATTTATAAGCACCAAAGCCAAAAATGTGTGTGACCTACTTTGCAACTGTGCTGTAATGCATCTTGTAATTGATGAGCAGAAGGAACTTTTGTAAATACTAAATCATAAAAGTAAACTACTACTCCAAAGTTTTATACGGACTTACAGTCTTTTTACAGACATAAAGACTGTGAATTACAAGGCTAAAAACTTAAAAGATGTCTTCAGGATCTGCTTGTAAAACATTCCAAATTCCATTTATACTTGTGAAATTACAATTGTAATCCTACGTGTGTTTTCGTTCCAGAAGTGTGAAGGATGCAATGATTGTCCCAAGAAGTTCCACTGACTAGTCTAGGATAAACTGTGGATTTTTAAATGAAGCTATTACAAAGAAGCTCTGGGGCACAACAATTTAGAGCTCATCTGCTAACTGAGAAAGGTTGGGGATTTGAACTCACTCAGCAGCTCTGCAGGAGAAACACCTGGTGATCTGCTTCCTAAAGATTATAGCCTAGTAAACGCTTCGGGACAGTTCTTCTCTGTCACATGAGTTTGCTATGAGTCAAAAATTAACTTCCAACGATAGTTAGCAGAGGGGTTTGCCTGTTCCTTTGGTAAGCTAGGAAGTATTGATTGAGTAAAATTATATCACTTTTCTTCTTTCCATGACTGCCCTTTAATTTTAAAAAGCAAAAATATTTACTGTATTACCCCACAGAGATACTCATTTTTCCTATATAACCTTGTAGTTACCTTTGTGTGTATTTGTATTTCAAAAAGGTCATAATACTAGTTGCTGTTTTGCATAGTCGTGAACATGCATGTCAATTGATAACGCCCATCTATAAAGCCTATCAGGAGCTCTGGTAGCGTAGTGCCTAAGGCACTTGACTGCTAACCAGAAGGCTGGCGGTTCAAACCCACCAGCCACTCCTTGGAAGGAAGGTTGGGGAATCATTCTTCTGTAATGATACTGTCTCGGAAACCCAAGGAGGGGTCTGAGTGGGACTGACTCGAGGGCAAATAACAACAACAACAACAATAAAGCCTATCAGGGACACACCTATAGTTCTTTAAAGTTAGGTTTATTAAGTTGCAGCAGGATGAAGTTTAGGTAACATTTAAATGAAGCAATGTTTTCAGAGACTCAAAGCAAAGCAAGGGTATATGTAGAGAGGTTAATATCAGCCTGGCCTGAGAGGTAGACTCAGAATGTGAATTCTTTGAAATTGCAAAGGTAAGATAAATGTGAAATATGTCTGAAACCCCTTACCTGAAGCTCTGCACCTGGGTTTGAAATAAAGACTGCTTATTCTAAGTCAAAATGACATAATTATGTGAGTAAAAGAAGCCAGACCAAAAAAAGAGTACATACTGTATAATCCCATTTATATAAAACTAGAAAATGCAACTTCTCTATAGTGACAAAAAGATCACTGGTACTTGGGGATGGTGGGAGGTAAGAAGAGATAAAGGGGGGAAAGGGAGGTATTTGCTGTCTTGGTTATGGTTGTGACTTCATGAGTATACTGTATATTAATGCAAAACGTCTCAGATTGTATACGTGAAATATGTATGGTTTATTGTGTGTCCATTAAATGTCAATAAAGCAATTTAAAAAAAATTTAAGTGGCTCACATGGCTCAGATCCTCCAGACAGGTGAGATGTTCCATTCTGACTGATGGGTTTTCAAACAGAATTTTTGTCAATCTATGATTTTAGAGAGCAAGGCTTTTCAGCACTATCTCTGGTAATAACAAAAGTGTTTTACAGGTTTGCACAATAAATATTCTATTACATATCATTTTTTAATGGCTACATAGTCCTGTCCAACTTCACTGGGATTTACTTAACTAATATTTTATTGTTAGATAGTTAGATTATAGGTTTTCTTATTTTTTCCCCATTAGAAGAATTCTATCATGAACATGCTCATATCTAAATTTTGGTGTCTATCTCTAATTTCTTCCTGAGGTTAGAATACTGGCACTGTAATTACCTGGGCCATATTGTAATAAGTGAATTAAACACTTTGAGCTTGGAAGTTTTAAGGGACCAGCAAATGTTCTCTACTTGTAGCTTCTCCTTTTGTAGAAGAGAACAGGGGTACTTCAAAGGATTGAGTCCTAGCCTGGGGTCAGAATGTCCCCCTTGGTTACTCCTCTTTTTCAGTTACTCTGTACAGTTGGTGTTAGAACAGGAAGTTAACTTCCAGTAACTAATTTTTAAGGGTTGATGAAAGAAAAAAAATAGGCTTCAGTCTTCAAAATGTAGACTATTTCAATTAGAATAATGCAAATAAGTTCCTTGCTGGGTTGAAGGTGATTTTACTATAAAGAAGGGAACTATAGTTGAGGGTCCCGAGAATTTGGAAGTAGGGTCAGGAAAGGGTTACACTCAGAATAAATTTAGTTAAGAATTAGTAAATAATCATCTATACAAATAGCTGAAAAATGGTCTATAAATATATTGCTGAAAGGATATTTCCAAGTCTCTCTAAAAGATAAGATACACTAAGAAATAATGAATTAGGGCACTAGGATGGGGGCCAGGGAAGCAGGGAAAGCTGTGTATGTGATAACAAAAGTGAAAGTTGTATCACTGGAATGTCAGCAGTAAACATCAATGGGTATTTACACTCTGCTTCCATGCAGTGAGTTTGGTTTGGTTTTTGGTTCTGGTGGTGTAGTGCCTAAGGCACTTGACTGCTAACCAGAAGGCTGGTGGTTCAAACCCACCAGCCATTCCTCGGAAGGAAGATGGGGCAATCTACTTCCGTTGGGCAATCTACTTCCATAGTGATCCCGCCTCGGAAACCCAAGGAGGGGTCGCTGGAGTTGAATTGACTCGATGGCAGTGAGGTTTTTTTTTTTTTTTTTTTTTAAATCAGCTATCCAAAGTTAAAAACACACAAAACAACTAGGTTTATAGATACCTATGTAGTATAAAGGATCTCTGGTAGCGTAGTGCCTAGGGCACTTGACTGCTAACCAGAAGCCTGGCGGTTCAAACCCACCAGCCAGTCCTTGGAAGGAAGATGGGCAATCTACATCCATAGTGATACCGCCTCCGAAACCCAAGGAGGGGACGGTATGAGTTGGGTCCCACTCAACGACACATAACAACAACATATAGTATAAGGGAGCTCCGGTAGCATAGTGCCCAAGGCACTTGACTGCTAACCGGAAGGCTGGCAGTTCAAACCCACCAGCCACTCCTCAGAAGGAAGATGGGGCAATCTACTTCCGTAGTGATACTGCCTTGGAAACCCTAAGAGGGGTCGCTATGAGTTGGGTCCCACTCGACGGCACATAACAACAACAACAAGGCGCTATCTCTACAGAAGTAAATTGCCCAATCTTCCTTCCAAGTATATATATATATACATATATGTATATAATTTTGAGTTTTTCTCCCACTTTATCCAGGATCTCATTTGATCCCTTTCTGAGTGATTCACAGTGGTAGCCAGGTACCATCTACTTCTGGTTTCACTAGCTAACTTTTAAGTAATCTGATCCTATTAGCAGTTATGTTTATTGCTGTAAATCATTTTTACCCAATGGAGCGAGATTTCCCCCATACAGATAACAATTATTGGCTTTGGGGATGAAAAATCTTTTATATATATAAAGCATAGTTAAATATAGTACACAAACAGATACACAGTAAATCTGTGGTATTTAAATTTCACAGAGAGGGAAATTAGGGAAGAAAATGTTACAAGGCTCCTTATCAACCGAACTTACTGCCATGGAGTCAATTCTGACTCAGCAATCCCCATTAGGTTTCCAAGGCTGTAAATCTTTACAGAAGCAGACTGCCTCATCTGTCTTCCATGGAGTGGCTGGTGGGTTTGAACCACTGACCTTTTGCTTAGCACCCACATGCCTCAACCCCTGCACCACCAGAACTCCTTAAAAGGCTTCTTGGGGGAGTGATCATACAATCCTGGTGGAATGGAAGAGCTTGGTGCTCTGTTCTGTCAGTTATATTCATGGGTTTTAT